GGTCGGACGTTATTAAATGAGAACGCACAAGTTGAATTAAGATCGACAAGTAGGTGAAGGATGCGTATTATGATTGATTTAACGCAACGCAACGTGCAACTATGCACCAAGTAACATCGCTATACTTGCATATGCAAAATATTCTCCATTCTGCATCTTTAAGTTCCTAACTAATACAATTTTTTAAGCGATTTGTGTATAGTTAAACGTAGTCCAAGTGGACTATTCGATATGATTTCCAGTGCATTGGCTGCCCTATAATTCATCAATTAACTTCTTTGGTGGTCGTTAAACTTGTGAAGAATAAACATTGTATCCGGCTGCGGTTCTAGTACCGTCAAATCGGCGATTTAATTTCGATTCGCGTTTTTCTACTGGTCCGCGAGATTGAGAAAAAAAGAACGGTCTTTCCGAAGCCGGCGAACCAATTTACTTAATGCGCATTTTATTGTGCAGCGTACCTTTCGCCAAATTGCACACAACACCGCGGAAATTGCTATATAATTTTCGAGATAATTCGCTTTTTAAAAGCCAAAAAGCAAACTGAACTCGTATCGTATGGGGAGTAGGCACATGGTGCTCGAGCAGGCACAGGTGCAAATTTCTATACCGACATGTGGTAATTGGAAGCGTAACTTGGGTGGAAAATTTATATTATACCCGAGGTACCAGGACTGTTGTTTCAATGAAACAGCTGTAATAAAGGGATGCAATATTCAATAGTTTTAACTAAAACCGAAAACTCATAACCCTTGATTAGATAAATCAAACAATTAGAAAGCAGGATAATTATCTAAAGTATAGTTTTTGCAGTATTACCAGTTTGCAGAAAAAAATAACCTAACGACAGGAATCTCCATACCTGCTCCAGCGAGTGACCAACTCCGCTTTGCCACCGACAACAAAGTCGGTGATAAGTATAGGGGGAGCCAAGTACGGTTTTCTCGCATTTGTTGATTATAGTTATTAGAGCCGCGTTGAGACAACGAGCGTTGGGAATGCGCTAAGCTGGCGGAATGGAATGGAACCGAAGGAGTTCGACGAGGAGGATGCTCGCATGACGAGCGGACGGGCCCGTTCGTTGTACGCAGGACCTCCTAGAGATAACCGACGACGGAACTGGTAGATTTATTAGGTTAGGGAGTAATCGAGGAAAAAATCATTTGAATAATCGTAGACGCATACGGTGGAAATAATTATGCGAGGATGATTAAACGTGTTCGATGCGACTTCTAACGGGACGCGAATATGATTTATTGCTTAGTAAAAATTTCGTTCGAAACTTATCTGAATATATTCTAACCTCCACAAAGAAATTATTAATTCAGGTAAAAAGTTTGTAGAAATAATTGCAACACTTGGAACTTCTCTGCCATATTAACTATTATCAAATTTGTAGCAGAAGCTTTAAAATTGTCTCAAAAGCAAAGCGCGTAATTACCGGTTAGGTTTTGCCACATCCTGTACGGATAATTATGTTTGTTCAAGGAATCATTTGATTTACAAGGTGGCTCGGTCTCACGCCATTCATTCCGAACGTCTTTGGCGATCGCAGATAAGGATTAAACGTATTGTCGTAGTTAATGGGATACGCTTAATTTATTTATAGCTATGATAGGGGCACCCACTAGAGTTTAATGGGTTGTTTCGTCCTCAGCTGCTAGACGAAATTGGTTCCAATAGTTAACGACGGCGGTAATTCGCAGATGCGCGGTTTTTATATGAAAACTTGGAAATATCATGACCTTTAACTAACGCGTTATAGAAGTAACTAAATGACAGCTTGGTAATTTATGCTGTAGGTTCTTCTAACGAACTTAACGATAATTCGAACGCGAAGATACGCTAACAAGTACCTGTTAAATATTTTTTTATGCAAATATAGCCGTTGGGTAAAGCAATAGTTGCAATTCTGGATTTTATCATTCGATCTCAAGTAAATAAAGTGATTGTTAAACTGTTAGATCGGTTGCATAGCATAACGTTAGAGGAACTATAATTGTTTTCGATTATCCAGATAATATCTATTGGGTAATATTTTCAGCTTTAATAATATTTCATATTTAATCAACCGTTTTTTCGCTAATATCAAACACACCTTTTAGTCGTTTTTTTTTCTGAAAATTGCCGGTTAGTATAAACAGCTCAAATGCTAAGGTTAGTTTTACGACTAAAAACCGTGATGATTGTTATCGGATCACGTAGAAGTTGCTGCAGTGAACGGAATCCATACCCAGTAGTCACCAGGAACCACGAAGGAAATTAAATGCCATTTATATCCACCGCTGAAGCCATTTTTTAATTGAAGCTCATTCTTATTCTACTAGATAAAAATTCCTATGGGGATTCAAATCCCTTTGTATATCCGTAAGTTAAGTGTGTTAAGTATTAATCTGTAAGTATATTAAAGAGTGTGTGGTGAAAAGAAATTTTAAAATATGTTGTGTATTTTGCTGTTGTCGTAAAATACCTCTGATTGCATACTCGAATTGATTAATACGCATTTTTAAAGCACAACTCATTCTAAGAAAGCCAAGTATTTCGGAGAACGAAATTTTTTGCCATACACTACCTCGCCGGTCGTCCAGCATCTCATATTTAAATGGGACATAAAGAAGGTGATTTACGTCACCAGCCTTTTTACGATCGTCTTTTATTGTTCTATACGATGAGACGATGGTGTTTGATATCAGTAACATCTATGTTTTTAAGATTGTGGAAGAAAAAAAAAACGTGCATCTACATTCGAGTTTGGTAGATCGTATCTGATAGACCTCTTTCGACACTTGCGCTCGACCGCGATAAATTGCGCGAAACCGCCAACGCCGAAATTTCGAACGGTATTATTTACGGAGCGACGACAATATTGTTTATGTTTATGGCTGGTTGTTTAATGGATACAATTACCGAAGGATATTAATATTGGAAAAAAATAGGAAGTATAAAATGGATAGGACGTGGCTAGATGATGTGACAAAGTTGCACAAACTAGCGTTACAAAACTTCTAAATCATTCCATTTTCACCAAACAAAAAATCACCATCTAGTTGAAGAAGAAATTAAAGCTCCGCAGCGATGAGTCTTTTAAAGATTCCAGATTTCTTTACGTATATACCCGTACCTAATAATATATAATAGCATTATCTAATCTCAGGAGAGCTAAAGTTCATGAAATAACAATCCGTAAACAATGTAGTATCGTGCCTGGTTAGCCACATGTACACACAACTTAACGAATAAGAAAAAAGAAAAAACCACCGATGGAATCGACTTCGAGAAACCAACTCTGGTATGTCAAAACGGGACGTGAATCTCTGTTTCAGATATGAAGTTCACTGGACCATGTAGGTTCTCTTCTTCCTTTATGCATTTCTCGTTCCTGTACCAACTAAATTTATCATCCGATACTAAAAAAACTATTCCTGCTGATTTAAATTTGTTTTAAACTTTTGTATAGTTTATTCACAAAGCGTGTTTGTATTACTGGTTGTCTATTAGTTTATTGAACTATTCCTGCTAATAATTCAGCAGGAATAAATAAAATTTACCTATTTTATATATTTATAAATAAATTATGTTGTAAAAATTTGACTATGTATAACTCTGTAGAAGAATATAAAATTCCTGCATTTTGTTACATTGTTTATATTTGTTTATTATTGTTTGTATTTATTTTGTTGAAACAATTATGTACCTTCTCCCTTGGAATCTCAAAATAAAATTTCTATTTTCCTTTCTTCTTTCATTTAGATATAATTAAGAAAAATCACTCACATATTTCAATTATAGTCCAAGGCGTCGTTCGAAGGTTTTAGTTAAACCGATTTGTCAAAATGGTTAATTAAGCGTAAATTTCCCGCGTCTATTATCCCACATAGATAACTATCTTCTGTTTAAATAACTTTCGGTTAGATTTTAATCTGGTTTGCGTGTCAACTGTAATGGATATAAATACCGGGTGTTTATGTAATACGTTTTTTATGCAAGACTTTTCATTTGTAAAAATGTAGTATAATTTCAGTTTCAGTTTTTCTATACTTATTCCTTTTCTATTTGCCCAATTACCGCACCATAGAGTTAATGATTATTTTCCTTTAAATTGGCGTGATCAATAATTTCTGCAACGGATTCATTTTTTAGCATTTGCAGCTTTAAGCTGCAACGCCAGGTACAATTAACGTCTGCATTTATAACGATAAAAGTCACATTTGTTAATTATGCGACCACTCATCGTTGGTTTTATTCTAATTAATGAGTTTAGCGACAATTATAACGTGCTTACAGTCACTATTGAAAGAAACATTATCTACCGGTATGCCCTACTACTGCCAGTTATGGTCAGGAGAAGAGGACGATAAAAATCTGTCAGACGCTCTCGTTTGGCTTTAATTGGTTCACAGATTTAATACAATAAAATAAACCCTGCTCCATTTATAAATGTATTTTGCGTTATTATGAAAATTACATAATGAGAGTGCGAATATTTGGTGTTTAAATTGTTGGTATTCCCCAAATGGTAAATTATGCCGAGACTTCATTAGCCGAGTTTCATCATGCAGAAAGGTCATTTAATATGTAAATGTGTTATTTAATAGCATTGAAATCTATTTGTGCTTCGACCCCAATGGTTGGTGTTAATTCCATTTTTAATGCAGTGCAGCTAAATTAAATTAATTTTTAGGAAACATTTATTTTAAATTTAAAAATATAACCATTCAATTGAACAAAAATAATTTAGTCCCCTTATTAAATGTGTAGTTGTTATAATTAGGCATGATATTAATTGGAAGAAAGTATTAGGTGATTTACTGGAATTATTTTTTTCTACAAATAATATTTGTTCCGTTTATGAAAATATGAGACAATTTGGTATTTCCGTTTACACATCCAAAATATTTTGGTAATTCTTTCATAATTTGTTAAATTACAATTTGTTCTGCCAACTGAGCGCTATTTATTATAAAATGCAGCACCCAGTATAAAAACTCTTTAGTCCCAAATTTAACTCAAAAGATTAACAGAATGTATCTCTTCGGTTTTTTAACTTGCTTTGTTAGTTTTGCTATTGGTAAATAAAATCAATTGGTTATTGCACCTAAAATTAGCTAAGTTTAAACTGATTTCAGGTATTATAAACGGTCAAACGTCTGGTGTAATAAATGGACAGTACTACTTGTGCCTTCCCACAGGAACGCCTTGTCCAACTACACCGCCCAACACGATTGACCCTAGAATTGTTACACCAACAGGAGTGAGTTAACACAGATTTGAAAGCAATAGAATCTAGATAGACTGTTTTAGACTCAACCTGGAACTCCATCAGGAACTCAACCAAACTGTCCGGCCGGTACCACTCCCTGTTACGGCGTTAGCAAGGCTTGTGGAACTAGATTGGTCCCGGAGCCGGTTAGTACAGCCGCAGGCCCAACAACTATTGGTGCTTATCCCTGGCAAGCGTACCTCAGGAACGCCACACACTCCTTCGCAGGTAGCGGCGCATTAATATACCCCAGTTACGTCGTTACAGCAGCTCATAAAGTTTATTTGAATGTGTAAGTTTTGATTAATTTTGTTTATTATATGAAGGTAGATTTTTGTACTATGTTTTAGTAATACTCCTACAGCTGTGACGGTGCTAATGGGAGTTTGGAACCCTACAAACCTTATTAACGTTCAAACTAGTACCGTAGCACAGATAATAGTTCATGAGGCCTTCGATCCTGCTACGTTAAAAAACGATATAGCACTTCTGCGATTGACGCAGCCGATGGTAATAGGAATATACAATAACATAAATACAATTTGTTTACCAGCTGCCGGTGCTTCATACGTGGGACAAACGTACGTACATCTTCGTATAAACTTTATAGAGCAATGTAACGATTCGTTTTTAGTTGCCCTGTCAGTGGTTGGGGTCAGACGGCATTTACTACATTTGACGCACCGACGAATCCGCAGAAACAAGCATCAGGACCGATTGTCAGTTACGCTACGTGCAGAGCATCGATGGCCGCAGCCAATTTGCTCGGGGCCAATGTCGACACATATTTAGACCCGAACGGAGAGATATGCATGGGTGGAATGAGCATGTTGGATGCTTGCACTGTAAGTTTATAGAGGGGTTAATGAAAACGATTGCAGTTAATATTATTATTTATTTTCGCAGCAAGATGGAGGTTCACCGTTAGTTTGTGTGGGTCCGACTTCGTACAGTCTGGTTGGTTTGGTAATATGGGGTAAAAACTGCGGTATGGCCAACGTTTACGGGGTTTATGTAAATATTCCTTATTATTTATCGTGGATCCAAGGCAAGGTAACAGCAGCAGGATAAACCGAATCTAATTATATTACAGTATAACTTTATAGGGGTTTAGAATCCCGTTCGGATCCATTAGTTTTTTCACGTTTCGCATTAAATTAAGAGTATTCTTTGGTTTAATTTTATCCATAACGTATAAGATATTTACCCAGGAACGCGACGTTTCTGTATTTGGGTCGAGGTGGGCATTGCAAAATTACTTTAGTTACAAAACCCAGAGTACCTTCGGAACCTATAAAGAGATGCTTCAGATGATAGCCAGTGTTATCTTTTTTGAGATTACTGAGGCAATCTAGTATTTCACCATTCGCTGTTACCTGAAAGCTAACTTTACAATTGGATAAAATGAAGAAGCGAGATGCTTACTGCTTCAATTCCGAGGACATTGCCGTGCATATTACCGAATTTGATTAATCTCATTCCACCAGCGTTAGTCGACACATTTCCTCCAATGTGGCAAGTTCATTTGGCACCGATGTCCAAAGGTACTATTAAACCTTTAGGTTCTAAATATTTGTCTATATTTTCCAATATGCAGCCGGCTTCACAGGTTAAAACGCCTATACGAAACGAATTTTTAGTACATAGAAATATTATTTTTATGCCTTGAGGACAAACTGCTAATTTATTTTCATTGCAATAATGCAGTATACTGGAAACTTCTTGAGTGGTTTTTGGTTTGAGTAGAATATTGCTGGTACCTACAATTGTTTTTATAAAGAATGATAAAGTGTATTATCGTTCGAAAATTTACATACCCCTTACTTAAAAGAACCAATCGGTATTATATTTTTCCAAATCTACTGAATCAGTAACTACTCTTTTAGAATCCAATATTTCCTAAAATGCTGAATGTCTTCCTTTTGAATGCTATTGTAATTGCCTCTAATGACTTTGAACTTTTTCTAAAACATAGGTTGTTATTATTTAATTTATCATGTCTTGTTAATAAATATTTATAATAAATAAATTACTTACTTTTGTACACTCTGGTGAGTTTTGTGAGTATCTTCTAAACAAATTATTTGAAATTTTAGTAATTTAGACATGACATAATTTAGACAAGTTCACAAATATTAAGATTAATTTAAAAGTTGCTGGTTTTTTGATCGCCAAATTTAGTATGAGTTGTAGAGGTAGGGCCAAAAAATCCACTCAGATGTGAGAGAAAACATTTAATTTCGCATATTTGAAAATTTGGTGATCAAAAATTCTGTAACTTTTAAAATAATCGCAAACTTCTTTAACTTTTGTGGAGCAGTTTATTTTAATTTAATTAACATACTAAACGTGTTTACAAGATTCAGTTGAAAAATCGTTTTCTATTAAGCAGAATTGCAATTTCATTTCACTGATAAAATAATAGGCTTCTAGTATTACAAATAAATATAAGAATATTTTATATTATTCTATATATTATTTATATATATTATAGAATATTACATAAATACGTTTTTTATGCAAGACTTTTCATTTGTAAAAATGTAGTATAATTTCAGTTTCAGTTTTTCTATACTTATTCCTTTTCTATTTGCCCAATTACCGCACCATAGAGTTAATGATTATATTTTCCTTTAAATTGGCGTGATCAAAAATTTCTGCAACGGATTCATTTTTTAGCATGTGCAGCTAAAAAAATTTGAAAATTACATAATATGAGTGCGAATATTTGGTGTTTAAATTGATGGTATTCCCCAAATGGTACATTATGCGAAGCCTTCATTACCCGAGTTCCATCATGCAGAAAGGTCATTTAATATGTAAATGTGTTATTTAATAGCATTGAAATCTATTTGTGCTTCGACCCCAATGGTTGGTGTTAATTCCATTTTTAATGCAGTGCAGCTAAATTAAATTAATTTTTAGGGAAAATTTATTTAAAATTTAAAAATATAACCATTCAATTGAACAAAAATAATTTAGTCCCCTTATTAAATGTGTAGTTGTTATAATTAGGCATGATATTAATTGGAAGAAAATATTAAGTGATTTACTGGAATTATTTTTTTCTACAAATAATATTTGTTCCGTTTATGAAAATATGAGACAATTTGGTATTTCCGTTTACACATCCAAAATATGTCGATAATTCTTTCATAATTTGTTAAATTACAATTTGTTCTGCCAACTGAGCACTATTTATTATAAAATGCAGCGCAGCATAAAAACTCTTTAGTCCCAAATTAAACTTAAAAGATTAACAGAATGTATCCCTTCGGTTTTTTAATTTGCTTTATTAGTTTTGCTATTGGTAAAAAAAATCAATTGGTTATTGCACCTAAAATTAGCTAAGTTTAAACTGATTTCAGGTATTATAAACGGTCAAACGTCTGGTGTAATAAATGGCCAGTACTACTTGTGCCTTCCCATAGGAACGCCTTGTCCAACTACACCGCCCAACACCATTGACCCTAGAATTGTTACACCAACAGGAGTGAGTTAACACAGATTTGAAAGCAATAGAATCTAGATAAAGACTGTTTTAGACTCAACCTGGAACTCCACCAGTAACTCAACCAAACTGTCCGGCCGGTACCACTCCCTGTTACGGCGTTAGCAAGCCTTGTGGAACTAGATTGGTCCCGGAGCCGGTTAGTACAGCCGCAGGCCCAACAACTATTGGTGCTTATCCCTGGCAAGCGTACCTCAGGAACGCCACAAACTCCTTCGCAGGTAGCGGTGCATTGATAAACCCCAGTTACGTCGTTACAGCAGCTCATAAAGTTTATTTGAACGTGTAAGTTTTGATTAATTTTGTTTATTATATGAAGGTACATTTTTGTACTATATTTTAGTAATACTCCCACAGCTGTGACGGTGCTAATGGGAGTTTGGAACCCTACAAACCTTATTAACGTTCAAACTAGTACCGTAGCACAGATAATAGTTTATGGCGGCTTTAATAATGCTACGTTAAAAAACGATATAGCACTTCTGCGATTGACGCAGCCGATGGTAATAGGAATATACAATAACATAAATACTATTTGTTTACCAGCTGCTGGTGCTTCATACGTGGGACAAACGTACGTACATCTTCATATAAACTTTATAGAGCATTGTAACGATTCGTTTTTAGTTGCCCTGTCAGTGGTTGGGGTCAGACGGCTTTTACTACATTTGACGCACCGACGAATCCGCAGAAACAAGCATCAGGACCGATTGTCAGTTACGCTACGTGTAGAGCATCGATGGCCGCAGCCAATTTGCTCGGGGCCAATGTCGACACATATTTAGACCCGAACGGAGAGATATGCATGGGTGGAATGAGCATGCTGGACGCTTGCACTGTAAGTTTACAGAAGGGATAATGAAAACGATTGTTGTTAATATGAATATTTATTTTCGCAGCAAGACGGAGGTTCACCGTTAGTTTGTGTGGGTCCGACTTCTTACAGTCTGGTTGGTTTGGTAATATGGGGTAAAAACTGCGGTATGCCCAACGTTTACGGGGTTTATGTAAATATTCCTTATTATTTGTCCTGGATCCAAAGCATGATAACAGCGGCTGGATAAACTGAATCTAATTATTTTACACTATAACTTTATAAGGGTTTAGGATCCCGTTCGGATCCAATAGTTTTTTCACATTTCGCATTAAATTTAGAGTATTCTTTGGTTTAATTTTATCCATGTATTTGGCTTTGAGAAAGCCGATGCCGTGTTCTGCGCTGATGCTACCATTGAATGCAGCAACTTTTTCGAAAACGACAGCGTCTACTCGGCTTTTTAATTCGTCCGTTGCCTCGTTTTTCAAAATGATTTGCAAATGTAAATTACCGTCCCCTAAAAAATCATTTCGAGTGTTTGTTCTAAATTTATCTCATGGACTCACCTAAATGTCCGAACCCAAATACGCGTTCGCTCAATCCCTCCGTTGATTCTTTTATCGGCTCTAATATATTGTAGTAGTCCTTAAACGGCAGCGAAGTGTCGTATTGCAGCATTCTGGACCCGTAAGCTCTAAATCCATTTGCAATGTTTTCTCTTATCGACCAAATTGCCTAAAAATACTGTGCATAATGTACACCTTAATCATAAAATCATTGAGTAAACCTGTATTTTAGCTGGCTCGCTTGCGACAGTGCCATTGAGAATCAATCCAGTTTTTAAAGCTTCTTCGAGGAATAGATGCAACTTTTCCTCGTCGTGTTGCTCGTTGCTTCCAGACGTTTCAATCATTAAATAGAAAGGGTAATCCCCTATCGGGGAGTCCTGTTTGTTTTCTTTCCGTATAAATTCCATGGTGGGCGTATCAATAACTTCAACAGCCGATAGAATCTCGGCTAGATGTCCCTTAAGTAGTTTGAATGTTTTTAGCACTTTATCGAAATTCTGCAAACCTTTATTGATTGTTTTAATAGATTTTAACGTATTAGATATTTACCTAGGAACGCGGCGTTTCTGTATTTGGGTCGAGGTGGACATTGCAAAATTACTTTAGTTACAAAACCGAGTGTACCTTCGGAACCTATAAAGAGATGCTTCAGATGATAGCCAGTGTTATCTTTTTTGAGATTACTGAGGCAATCTAGTATTTCACCATTCGCTGTTACCTGAAAGCTAACTTTACAATTGGATAAAATGAAGAAGCGAGATGCTTACTGCTTCAATTCCGAGGACATTGCCGTGCATATTACCGAATTTGATTAATCTCATTCCACCAGCATTAGTCGACACATTTCCTCCAATGTGGCAAGTTCCTTTAGCACCGATGTCCAAAGGTACTATAAAACCTTTAGGTTCTAAATATTTGTCTATATTTTCCAATATGCAACCAGCTTCACAGGTTACAACGCCTATACGAAACGAATTTTTAGCACATAGAAATATTATTTTTATTTGTATAAAGCACCTGAATCTTCGTCTAAGCTAATGATCTTATTCATTAATTCAGTGGAAACAATAACTTCATCAAAAACTGGAACTGATCCCCCTAAGGCACTGGTATTACCGCCTTGAGGACAAACTGCTAATTTATTTTCATTGCAATAATGCAGTATACTGGAAACTTCTTGAGTGGTTTTTGGTTTGAGTAGAATATTGCTGGTACCTACAATTGTTTTTATAAAGAATGATAAAGTATATTATCGTTCGAAAATTTACCTACCCCTTACTTGAAAGAACCAATCGGTATTATATTTTTCCAAATCTACTGAATCAGTAACCACTCTTTTAGAATCCAATATTTTCCTAAAATGCTGAATGTCTTCCTTTTGAATGCTATTGTAATTGCCTCTAATGACATTGAACTTTTTCTTAAACATAGGTTGTTATAATTCATTTTATCATGTCTTGTTAATAAATATTTATAATAAATAAATTACTTACTTTTGTATACTCTGGTGAGTTTTGTGAGTATCTTCTAAACAAAGTTATTTGAAATTTTAGTAATTTAGACATTATAACATTCCAACTTGAACAATTGTATACTGCTAAATTAATGATTTTTAGAATGTATCTTTATTTAAATACAAGTTAGATAAACGGTAAAATAAACACAATGGTTATCACACAAGGTTAAAACTGATAGTCTTAGCCTAGGCGCATTAAAACCTGCAATCGTCAAGAATTGATTCACTGATTGACTATTTGCCAAAAATATTGTGATTCCACTTTAAGGCATATTGAAGGACGCAGGTTATCATCGTCAGGTATTAATAAAACCAGTCGATGAAAATATTTTAATTTAATTAACATACTAAACGTGTTTACAAGGTTCAGTTGAAAAATCGTTCTCTATTAAGCAGAATTGCAATTTCATTTCACTGATAAAATGGAATGCTTCTAGTATTACAAATAAATATTAATATAGGGATATTTTAAAATTAAGGAGTTTTATGATTAAATTTAATGTTGTTTTTGGATGACTTTATAAGGATTTAATATACCCTTCGGATCCATCATTTCCTTTATATTTTTCATTAAATTAAGCGTATTTTTGGCTTTTATTTTATCTAAATAGTGAGCTTTCATGAAACCAAGCCCGTGTTCCGCGCTTACACTACCTTCATATGCCAAAGTTCTTTCCAAAACGTAATTTTCCACATCCTCTTTCAACTGGTTATCATAATTATCCAGCTGGATTGTTATATGTAAATTTCCATCGCCTGAAAATTGATATTCAAAAGATTTTTTATTTGACTGTGCGTTTTACTACTAACCTATATGTCCGTAACCGAAAACAGTTAAACATTTATTACCCAAGTACTCTCTAATATCCTCGATAATGCGATAATAATGCACCAATGGTAAAGAAATATCGTACAAAAGCACTGCTTTGCATTCTTTGATACCATCTGATATAGTATCTCTTATGGACCATATTTCCTTAAAAATAATTCTATGTATTTATGTACATATTAATGTACTTTTGTCTTTTTACCTCCACCTTCTTAGCATCGCTTGCTACCGTCCCGTTCAGAACCAGACCTTTTTGAATAACTTCTTCGAATAGTTTATTCAATTTTTCTTGATCATGGCTCTCATTGCTGCCCGTTGTTTCTAACATCAGGTAAAATGGATAATCGTCTATGGGTAATTTTTTATTATTTTTGTCTTTAACGAATTCCATAAATCCAGCATCCATTACTTCTATAGCAGATAATATTTCTGCCAAAGAGTGCTTGACCAGCCTGTACGTTTTTAATACTTTATCGTAATTCTGCAAACCTAATCCAGTGTTAACTATTTCATGAATGATTGAAGTTTGATTTCGAACCTAATAAAGCTACATTTCTAAATTTTGGTCGTGTAGGGCACTGTATGGACACTTTGGTAATAACACCTAGAGTACCTTCGGATCCAATAAATAAATGTTTCAAGTGATAACCCGTGTTATCCTTTTTCAACGTACTTAAACAGTCTATTATCTCTCCATTTGCTAAAACCTATAATAATGGAGTCAATGGAAATAATTGGTTTAATTTTTTTTCAACGTACCGCCTCGAGTCCTAGAACATTCCCGTGCATATTTCCATACCTCAACAGCCTCATTCCACCTGCGTTTGTCGATACGTTTCCTCCAATCTGGCAGGTTCCTTTTGCTCCGAGATCTAAAGGTACCATGAAATTTTTCTCAGCCAAAAAGTTATCCAGATTTTGTAAAATACATCCCGATTGACTAGTTAAAATTCCTACAAAGAAAGATTTTTGTATCTATTTTTGTATCTATGCGCATTAGAATTGGGAGCAACATTTTTAATGTAGGTAGGTACCTGAATTTTCATCGAAACTAATGATTTCATTCAATAACTCTGTTGAAATGACGATTTCGTCAAAGACGGGTACACATCCTCCAACGACCCCGGTATTTCCTCCTTGGGTGCAAATAGCCAGGTTTTCCTTGTTACAGAACGATAAAATTTTGGAAATTTCGTCGGTTGTTTTCGGTTTTAAAACCACTGTGCTGCAACCTCTGACCTGCTTGTACCAATCCACGTTGTATCTTTCTAAATCCGACAGGTCCATTATCAATCTTTCATCGCCCAGCAAATTTCGAAAATACTTAATGTGATCGTCGTGTAAATAATTGTAGTTTCCTCTTGGTATTTTATATCTATTCTGTAATAAAACTTATTTCACCTGTTTATCGTTATATTAACAATGTAAACTCACCTTCGTAAAGTCCGGTCGATTTCTTAAACTTCTTTTTAACATTTTAAAATCGTTGAAACAATTCAATCTAACTATTTTCGGGAACATTGCGGTTAATTATTATTAGATCTGGTTCCAATTAAATAAACTTTCGTCGATGTATGTACGCTCTTATAAGTGATAAAGTATCTTCTTATCAGAACGATTGTTTATTTATAAATTAATTATATTTGTTTGGTGTCAGTACATTATATGAGTTTACTGGGGTCGAGAAGACATGTACAAAATTTAAAATTAGTAGCTTCAACCGATTGGCATCTAAAAGACGAAAACAAATATTTACAAATTATTATTGTTTATTCTAGAAATAATTATTTAGACAAAATATGTACTGTTTGTACACATACACATATGGGTATTACATACACTGTGTATTCTTCTTTAAACAGGAATTATGATTTGGAAAATTATTCTTGGATATTACAATATTTACTTATCTTTTCAATTAGGCAGTAAATAAAAAGACCCCATTAAAATTCCCATTAAATTAAAGTGTATTATAACGTCCTTTTTGTGACTCCTTTGTGTTTAATGACTTAAAAATTGGTAGGAAGCTTATATTTTTTATTTACCCCAGATGTAACAGATATCACCCTTATTAGTTGGCGTATCAAATTTGAACGACAGTAATGTGGACATAAAAAAATCATTTAGTAGTTTGAAATGACTTAATTATAATATGTGCCTCGGTACAAAATAATAGGTAGAAGTTTCGGCGTTTTTACAGTCTTTTTAATGACTTCTTTTATATTATCCTCTGTGACTATACGAGTAAAATTATGTGTAATTTTGATTCTGATATTTATTTCCTGGGAAAACGTTAGTTATCCAATTATTTAATGCGTAGGATATAGTTATAGAGGGAGAATTTAGATTGTATATCGTTTGATTATTAAATTATTATTACCTATCGAATGTATCGAAATATCCTATGAAACCTTTTATGAAACTTTATATCATAAGAAGAAAATCAACTCTACTCATATGCAACCATTTATACAGATAATGAAAGCGATATGTTGTTTGAGTGATAGTGAAAACGCAACCAGTTATACACAGTTACACAAACCAGAGAAACGAGTTTATATTTTTATTTATTGTGCCTGTAGAAATTGCTACTGCTACTAATGTAGTTGTTATTAATAAATGAATGAAAATTTTAAATACTTTATAAAATTATATAAACAATCAAATATCAATTACCCTTGTTTCTACGTAAAAAGTCTCTAGTATTTTTACAACAGTTCCACTATCAATCAGCTGAGTTACACAACTATTTCCAAAACATTTAATATTATTTCACGTTTGATAACCTTCACGTAATGGTGTGAATATACTTTAAATTTAGCGCATTGCGCGTTTAGTGTTAGTATAATTAGATTCCGAATTATGTCGAATTCCTTCCAACAACTTAGCTCCCTAACGCTGGTCGCTGCAGATACAGCAGATTACAATGCTATCAAGAAATACGATGTCACAGAAGCCACGACTAATCCAACCATAATTTTACAAGCAGCAATTTTACCGCAATACCAACATCACCTGGAGCAATCCGCAGAATATGGAATTAAGTCCGCTTCTGACCTAGAACTGGCAGTTGAAAATGCCATGGATATGTTGGTGGTTTCCTTCGGAGAACGAATTTTGCAAGTGGTTTCAAAAAAAGTTCACGTTCAAGTAGACCCACGATTGGCTTTCGATACCCAGCGCAGCGTTTCCAAAGCGCTAAAATTATTGAAGATGTTCGAGGACAAAGGTATAGACCGAAGGAAAGTGGTGATAAAATTGCCAGCGACCTGGGAAGGCATCCGAGCGGCTGGAATATTGGAGAAAACCCACGGAGTTAGCTGCAATATGACTACGATGTTTAGTTTGGTGCAAGCAGCTGCTTGCGCTGAAGCTGGAGTGAGCTACTTAGCTCCTTTTGTGGGCCGGATAAATATGTGGCACGAGGAAAATGGAAGCGAATTCGATCGAGCTGGAGAGACCGTGTTGAAGAACATACAAAACTACATGAGGAAATTCGGGTACAAGACCAAAGTTATGGGCGCCTATTTTGTTAACTCGGAGCAGATTAAAGCTGTTTCTGGATGCGATTTTGTGACAGCTCCACTTTCGTTGATTGATGCCTTAATTAAAGATAAAGAAGTTGTAGACGATAAAATGGATTCAAAGTTACCAGTCAAGAAACTCGATATAAATGAAGATACATTTAGATTTATGCTGAACGAAGATCAAATGGCCACTAGTTTGCTATCAGAGATAATTAGAAATTTTTCAGCTGATTACGGGAAGCTTAAGAATATTGTAAGAAAAGCTATTTTAAGAAAAAAATAATACCTCATTTGATTAAAATGTAGTTTTTATTGCTATAAAATATCAACAATAATTTCGAATGTTTCGAAAAATTTATAACAATGTACATAAAATAAATAATACTCGTACTTCCCCGCAATTACTTTAGCATCTTATTTCTAAGAGAACCTAACAGAGGGAGAAATGTTATATTAGGTAAAATTCGTAATAGAAATTGAAAGTGCAAGCTTGTGTGTGCATGTAGGTGCATGTGCAACGAATTACATAATCATTTCTTCCGAGTTCTATGTAGTAGTTTGCGCAGATATATTGTAAGGTAAATTTTTATATATTAGCCATCAATATTATTTTCAAATGCATGAATAAATTAGGTAAGTATTGAAGTTTGATTTTCTTATTTATTTTATCACATAGTTGCATAAAATAGTAAATCGACCGTCGGTAATTTATGATTAAAATATTTTCAAAATTAATCGATTTTTAGTTTACCAGGCATTATATCGTGGAAAAAAATGTTAATATACCTACAAAATTGAATCCATACCGTTTATAGTAAACAATATTCTCCGTAATCGAGATACTTTCACTTTGCAGGAAGCACCAAGTTAGCTGCAATAAAAATCGAAGCGGAACTTCAACAAAACTTTCTATTAGGTAATTCTCGAGCAGTAAATCAAAATTATAGGGGATAGTTTAGCGCGTTGAAAATATGAATTATATTATGCTTCAATAAACTATTTCGAAAAAAATTCTGTATTTTACCCATATCTCTCAATAGTGAATATTTTTCCAGGTACCAGCATGTGGATTCTCGTAGTAGTCGTTGTATTCCTGCTGGGATTTCTTGCCTATCTCGACACAAGAAAACCGAAAAACTTTCCGCCGGGCCCGAAGTGGTGGCCTTTTCTCGGTTGCGCTCCTCAAATAGCCAATCTTCAGAAACGAACCAACCACCTGGTGTTTACTACTGCCGAATTAGCGAAGACTTACGGCAATGTTTTGGGCCTTAAGGTCGGCACTCAAGTCTTGGTGGTTGTAAATGGTATAGCGGCTAATAAGGAGTTCTTGCTGAGCGACGATCTATCAGGAAGACCTCTGGGGGAGTTCTACGATAAAAGAACGTGGGGAAAAAGAAGAGGTGAAACTATCATACATTTGCTCAAGAGTCCTACTTTATTTTAAATTTGTAGGTATTCTATTAGTGGACGAATTGTTTTGGCAAGAACAGCGCAGATTTTTCTTAAAGCAGTTAAGAGAGTTTGGTTTCGGTACGAGAAACATGTCTACATTGATCGAAGAAGAAGCCCAGGAATTAATCGCTTATATATGCAAATTTACGGCTTTGAACGACTCGTCTGTGTTCAACATACAAAATTTGTTTAACCTCCACATTCTCAACAGTTTATGGAAGATGTTGGCTGGAGTTAGATACGATGCGGAAGATAAGAAGATGAGAGAACTACAAGCTATTCTAAATGAACTATTCCGGGCAGTTTCTATGGTACCTTTTAATACTTGTTTTTTGTTTGTATAAAATTCAATTTTTAGGTAGGTGCAACGTTCAGCCACTTCCCCATTTTAAAATACTTAGCACCGGAAAAATCCGGTTACAACGTTTACGTCAGGTCTCACAATTGCTTGTGGCGTTTTCTAAGAAAAGAATTAGCTCATCACAAAGAAACTCACGTGCCAGATTCTCCGCGGGATGTCATAGACGTGTATTTAAACGTCCTGAAATCTTCGGAAGAGTCCGGAAAAAGCTTCTCCGAAGACCAGTTGGTAGCCACCTGCATGGACATGTTCATGGCGGGTTCCGAGACCACGAGTAACACTCTGAGTTTCGGGTTTTTGTATCTAATTCTGAATCCGGACGTGCAAAGGAAAGCTCAAGAAGAAATCGATCGAGTAGTGGGCAGAACTCGATGCCCCTCGTTAAACGATAGGCCCAAGTAAGTTAAATACCTACTAAATGTAACGATTGTCCTTGTGATTTAAATTTTACAGTATGCCTTATTTGGAATGCGTGGTAATGGAATCCCTCAGGATGTTCGCAGGACGAGCTTTCACCGTGCCACATCGAGCTATTAGAGACACATATTTATGCGGATACAGGATACCTAAGGTACTTAAAAATTCACTCTAAATAATATTACTTAAATATATACTCTATTTCAGGACGTTTTAGTGATCGCCAATCTGTACGGATGTATGTTAGAGAAGGAATCCGGCTACAAAAATCCGGAGGCGTTCGAGCCGGAAAGGTTTCTGAGCAACGGCAAAATATCTTTGCCGGATAATTTCATTCCCTTCGGTTTGGGGAAGCACAGGTGTCTCGGAGAATCGATGGCAAGAGCGAATGTGTTTCTGTTTCTGGCGGCGCTTCTGCAAAAATTCGATTTCGGAATCGTGCCAGAACAGCCTCCGACTGCTGAATGGGCGGACGGGATAACGCCCGGGCCTAAACCGTTTAAAGCTCGAATTACTCCTAGAAAGTATACTGACAATTTTTAGATTCGATATGTAGGTATTAAAGCTCCAAAAGTATTGTACACCGTATTTTATTATATTCAATTGTATACATTTTATTTGTAAAAACAACAGAATAGATATAACAAAAATATTAGGGCGAAAATCACGTACTGATTCCAGATTATAAAACAAACATAAAATTTATTCAAGAAACACCCTGTATGTATATCACAATTTAATGCTTCATGTGTTTGATTAAATTGCAGTAAAAATCTGGAATTGCAAAAATACAACTAAAGTTTTCGATATCTACACGATTTTGCATGTATAATGAACAGTCGTTTGTTTAATAGCTAAATAGATGAAAATATATCAAAAATTTATTAGAGTATAGTTTTTTTTATTCAAGAGTTTGTTAAATAAAAATAAAATAGAGATTCTATTTGAGCACATTAACAGTTCGATATATTGGTCTTATGAGTAAGAAACTACACAGAGAATATGTGAAATTTTTACATCGGGTATTTTCTACGAAATTATAAATCTAATGGAAAATAGTTGATAAAAATTAATTAATTGAAAAGTTTCTATTGAAATCGTTAATATAACGTAATTGCACTTTTACATTGCGCACAGAAATTGTTCAAAGTAATGCAAGTTAATAAGCGATCAATATGATTGTAGTGCAATTTTTGTAAACTTACATATTTCCGTCCCAACTTTTATTACCACAAAAATAAAAAATAAATCTATAATAAACACAGAGATTAACATCAACTATGGAATACTATGGAAAGTGGCATCACAATTACATGATTCAACATTCATTATTTATTTATTTATATTAAATTTTAATCCTACCTAATTAAATTTATTTTTAATTGTTTATATTTATTAGGTTTGCAATACAGTACCTTCCCATTATGACTTACAATAAACACCAATAATTATCGCAAAGAAATAGAATTCGAGAAACATGTAATACTGCTTTCAAAATATAAATCAAACAAAATAAAAAAAAACAGAAGTAATAACTGCAGGACCCTGTGCGAATACTTCGAAGATCAGTTCCGACATTTCGATGTCCTCGTAAACTCAGTTTAAATAACAAAAATATCACAGATTGTGCGCCCCTCGACGCTCTTACAACCGCCTAGGTATGTGCTGGTACAAAAATGTTGAATGCAAAGCGTGAATTTTTTCCCTTCGTCACCTCTTGCCCATTTTCTCTTGTATGTGTATCTGAAATGAAATGTCCAATAAATACAAAGAGTACAAGAATTTGTATGAATAGAACGAATGACCCATTTCATAAACTTATTTGAAGATAATTTATTGAAAAAAAATTGATAATAACCTCGCTCAATATCGCCCAATTGTCGCTTTCACTGTGGACATTTAATCTAAGTATATTTATCCTTCCGATGCTTTCGTCAATGGAACCAGTTGCGATGCCAGCGCTATCGAATTTACCTAAAAAAAGAATTCGCAATTACGTTGCTAGCCATATTGCATATCCAGGTTATCTGCACCAGTCGATCCCGATAAACCTTCCCACTTATGTTATAATTCCCGTTCGAATGAAATACAAAGTTCTAACGTGCTGCCCGTCCTATTTATAAGCGCTATCTCGCCGGCAGTCAGTCTTTGCCAAACGGTAATAAAGTCGTGTGCGTTCTAAAAATACCGGACGAATTTCGGTGAAATTGCAGGAAAACAACCGATCGGAAAATGAAAGTCGATCCGGAATTGATGTTCGAATGTTTGATATACATCAACGCCCATTACTATCCCGTGTTCGCGGTCTGCGAAATAGCGATGCTCGTCGCTAAATACCTCAGCGATAAGAAAGACACGCCGAATCTGGATCAGGACGCCGCTGTTTGTTTGACCAGGCACGTTGCCGAGCTCATGAAGCTCGTCGGGTTCCAAGTGTTCAAGTATAGGAGCAGAAGTAAGTGAGAATTTTTTCATGCGATCAGATTTTTTTGGTACAAAACGCATTTGTTCTGGAATGTACAATACAATACAGGGTGTTCCTAAACATCCTGTATATGTATGCATGTAAACATTCCTTGGCTTATTTTATGACTAAAAGTTTATATAAACGTGGGTCCACAAACGCTTCGTTACCGATCTACAGGGTGTTGAAATTTCAATTTTTTTTTTGGTTTTTTCTTTGTAGCTCCTGCCCTTTATGAGATATTTAGCTCAAATTTTGAATCTAGATTGCTTTATAGGGCACACATTATTGGGTATGTCAGATGGTTGTTGAATTCTACAGGGTGGTATTTTTTAAGGGGTCATGTACCCTTTTTTCCCCCCAAACTTTTTTGCTGTGCACCGCTGGTAGATTCTAAATTACAAAATTAATTGTCTGTTTTGTTTAGAAACTTTTTTTATTTTTAAACTTTTTTCGTTTCTGTGACCGTTATCGAGAAAAAAATTAAAAATGATTTTCTGTACAAATATTTCATATTTCTGTATAATAAATGTTGAAAGAGACCCCCTCCTACTCAAGCTATACTGTATACCCTATATCCTATACCTAATTTGAGCTGAATATTTCAAAAACTGCAGGAGCTCTAAAAAAGAAACAACAAAATCTTGAAATTTCAACACCCTGTAGATCGGTAACGAAACGTTTGTGGACCCACGTTTATATAAACTTTTAGTCATAAAATAAGCCAAGGAATCACCCCCTTTCGAATGTACACGATGTTTAGGAACACCCTGTATGTAGGTAACAATTTTTTGTGATGATTTTATTTTACGTTGCAGAATTGGTAACACTCGCTGTTATCGTACTGAGTCTAGTGAACGTTTGCACGGTGTATTATAACATGTTCCTGCAGCATCCGATATTGAGGTTGGAAATAGTGTTGTCCTGCTTAACTAGTCTATTATTAGCCACGGAACTTTTATTCGGGTTTTGGTATTTAATGCCTTGTTACAAAAAAATCGAGTATTTTTAGTGAATGTTATTAAATTATTTTAATCTGTATGCGCGTTATTTTCGTGGATGATATAAGTGTGGATATTTACCAACGACAACGAAGCCATCCTGGGTTACATTCAAAACGTTGGAATTTGGATTTACGGCTTCGACAGGTTGAACTTCGACGGTGGTGTTGTAAAATTTATCAGTAGGGTGCTCGGCGTTTCCGCTTCGAAAGAAAAACCTAAAAACACAAGCGAATATGAGCAAAAAACCTACTATTATTAAAAAATTACTACACACTTGTTAACTAATACTGGCGATTTGAAATTGAATGCTAACTGATCGCCAGGTTGGGGTAACAGCCCCCAAAAGAAGGTTTCCCCATGGTACGCCCTTCTTAAGGAATATTGCTTGTAATGCTTGATTCCTGAGGTAACGTCAGCCTCAGGGTTAACGTGAGGGAAAAATAATGCGACTTTTCCAAATTGTTTGTCCTAAAATATTTCAACAAACATTAATTCAATTCTGATTTTATGACTTGTTGTGGATAGAAATTCGTTGAATAAAATTCTAATTTTTCAGCTCGAATTCGGGTTAACCCAATTCTCTTACGCTCGAATAAAACTTTTTTATATTACGAATGCGAGAAAAATTACGCCGTAAAAAAAACTTTGATGTGTACCGTAAATTTACTAACGGCTCGCTGAGGGTTGGAAAATTAATATTTAATATCTTTGGGGAGAACGAGTACGATTGCTGGTAGCCCCTCTTGAGCGTATAAACTTTCAATTTTTTTAGTAATAATTTATATCAAAAATGTAATAATTGTTTAATCGTAATGAATAAAAAATTGTCGATATTTACCTTTAATTTTTGAACTTTTCCTTTCAGGGACGAATGCATTCCAATGTGTTGAAATAGCGACGGTTTGTAATGAATCCAAACCCTGGCTTTATCACTCTTACAATTATCCTTTAATCGAATAAAAAATAACTCATAATAACGTATAAGTAAAAATTTTAAATAATCAACTTACGCGTTTATCCCAATTACATTCTTTAGTTGTTATTAGATAATCTAGCAACCAATCCACTGGTTTATCATTGAAGAACATTTGGAAAAACTGAATAAGCCAAGGGAGCTGTGTACTCCTAAACATTTTTCCTAAAAGTAAACACATCACTAAATACCACGGTATAGCACTAGGATAATAATGAAAATAAATATTAAACAAGACCAAAAAAAAATAGTAGTAAATGTCTATAATACCTATAAAACCCAATTGACAAAAGTCAAGGATAATCCACGGTTCTTTCTTCGATGTTTTCTCAAGAGCAAACTTCTTCATTGTTGTCATGTAGGATGGCTTGGCCATTATATCATCTTCAAGTTGAACGTAAAAGGTTCCTTGAAATAACAGGAATATTAAAATACCAAAAAATTCGGAGATAATCACTACTATTACCTTTGATTTGACAATAGGTCATGAGAAAAGCGTAATCCAAATTTTGCTTGGATCGCCACTTTACCCTTTCCAAGGAATCGCCCAATGTTATTTGAAGTTTTTCAAAATTTGGGTAGTATCCTGGAGATGGTGCGATTATATCAATTAACCCAGACTCTAAGTGCAGTGGAAATCTATAGATAAATAATACATTTGAATACTGAATTTACACACTATAAACTCCTTACTTTCTTTCTAATTCGCTAGCGACTTTGAGAACATAATCCAAATCAGTCTAAAAAATAATTCGTATAAATTACTATTTTATGTAAATGACATTCAATATAAGTACCTCTGCTACAAAAATTACAATAAGCGTATCATCGATTTCCTCATCGGAAAGTCCATCGATGAGGCTCTGAAGCGTATCCATCAGATAATTATATTTCTCCCTCTTCACCGTGGGGATTCCCAAAACCAACGACACTCCGTCCCTGTTCTTCGACAGCATATACGATAGTTTCAAACTGTTCGGATCGTCCAACAAGTGCGGCAGAAATTGATAAGCGGTCGGAAACTTTATCGATACGCCTACAAAACGGATTTTCGTCAATACTCGACTCGAATGAACCGATCCAATCACGCCGATACAAACACTTACTGGGATTTAAGCCGCTAGCCACGTGCAATCCTGACATATTTCTGATCGCATGCTTGACGTCCGACGCGTGCGGTGAATTGCTCGTGTTGTTATCCACGTTGTAGCTTTGATCGAAATGCTGGCTCATTTGCTGCAGGTCCTCTTGTCGAGATCTGTACATGGAGTCCAAATATTGAATTCTGACTTGAAGCTCGGCTATCCTCTCTACTAGTGCATCTTCAGAAGACATATCTATGGGAATTTTTTTATTGAAAAGAGGTAATATTACAATCAGAAGATCCTATCTAGTCAGAAAACTATCTATCCAAAAATGTTACAATAAGTCGAAAGTTGAATTGTAATCTCAAATTATTGGTAGTAGGTACCACAAATTTGGTGTGCTGACCTTATGTTTTTGTAGATTGCTAAATTATACGTAATTGTAAAATTAGATTTTATATAGAAAAATGGGTTTTTAGATTCAGGTTATATAACCGAATTGGAAGTCAGTTGGTCAACGCAATAAAATAACAGCAGAACCTGTCGTTCTATTTTTTCCAGCCTGAATAGATAAATATTCAAATTAAATCGATGTGGCAAGACGAAACTCCAATTACCTGCAGTCGTAATTACGTGCATCAGTTCGTTTACCTATACAACTAATAATAATACAACATGAAAACAGTGAAAACTGTATTTCCTACATGGTGTTACTGTTTATCTTTACGCCGTAATTAAATCGGAATGATTAATTTAGTACGGCTTGGAATTTTCTCTAACAATTTCGATGTCGTTTTATTGCTCCTTAACAGGCCGGGTAACAACTTGTCCTGCAATTTTGACTTTTACAACGTCGTAATTGTGGTTATTTGCGAGGTTTTTTCGACGTTTTCCAATGGTACCGTTAGTCAGAAGATGAGAAAACAGTAACTGAAACTAGTGAACTATTTGTCGACCCGATACGGACTCTACGCATAGGTTATAGAATATTTCAATATGTAAATTTAGTTTTATGTGGCATGGGAACTGAATAATATAAAATAATAAAAAAAAGTTAAAGATGTTGCATTGGAAATATTGGGATTAGAGGAGTAGATGTAATGAAAATAATACATTTTAAATAGAACAGAAAATTGAAATAAAAAAGAGAAAAACTTAAATGGATATAATGAAGATGAAGCTGAAGTAAACGGCCAAAAAAGATGGTTATCTAACAATAATGAATCCAGTAGAAGAGTTATTATTCCAAGTATTACTTTTATGTGAAATCCGGTCCTGTTGGACCATGTCTGTTGTTTACAATTATGCGTTTGATGCGTTAACCAATCTATTCCGTGCAAGTACAAACACATTTATTAACTCAACCTTGAGCCGTAAAAATTAAAATCAAAATTAAAATTCCTGTGACTTTTCGCGGACGTCCCATTGCCTTTATCGGAATTTGTTTACGCCGAATACGACCGGAAACAATATAATTGACAAACAGCCCGTTTCGACTAAACATAGGCGCAAATTGGTAATGAAATATTTCACATGCCTTAATTGAGCATGCCTTCTCGTAGGCGCGCACCAGAAAATTACCTCTATTACTCCGTATGTTATGATCAGAATGAATTTCTTCTATTTTTCTGAACGCACGTTAACTAAGTACCAAGGTCGTGTAAATTGTGTCTCCGCGGTTTGATTGTTCAATTCCGTAATCTAATTCTAAACACCTCGGTGTTGTAGTTATATAATCCTTATGTTGGAAAGTACGCTTACATAAACGAGTTAAGTTATTTATGCTATTTGTTTATTTATGAAATTATTACATGCGCTATCTGTTATTGACTATGAGTTAAAATCTGTACATGCTTGAATTGTGACAATATTATTTTTATCCAAGGATTAGAATTTGTATTCAAGTAATGTAGATTAATAAGATTAGTACAATGTTCTCGTTAATTGCCATTTATTCAAAGAAGATATGAAGATATTTTTTTCCGTACGGAACTTAATGAATTATTCATAAGTTTTGATTTATACCGCACGATATGGAAAACGATAAAATATATACTACTAATGTTTGTCTTGGGGTAGGTTCTAGCGAATGTTTGGTAAATATACACAACATATTCGTGACAAATTTTGGACAAAAAATACATGGAAAAGTATTCTTTGTTGTAGGTAACTTGTGAATATAAAATTTTCATTAGCATTAGACGAGACGTTCGAATGAAGGTTTAATGTCGTAATTATAGAGTTTAAGGACGATTTCTGAAATCAATGTCGGGGAAAGCCTAACATGGAATCCTTTAGAAACCACAATGGATCGAGACCTATTTTCGTCTAAATGACTGACATACTCGACAGGCACGTGTATTATTATCTTGTTCGATACAAATTTAATTAGTTTTATTTCCATTAACATTACCTAAATTAAGTAGATAATTTTGGCTTCATTTAATAAAAAAATGCGACTGAAAACAAGGCAATTAAGACTACTTAAAATTAAGTTTAATAAATAAATTTAATAGCTCTTTTTCTTGGGAATATCCGTTAGTAATTTCTAATTAATGGAGTAAGTGGTAAAAAATTGCAAGCGCTTATTTCATCGGTTCATCGCAACGGTACATATCTTTTCTCTCAGCATTGCACGTAAACGTTGCGATTTGGTACCATTCACAATTAAAATCTAATGGTATGCTGCATCGGCGATTTGTTGCAACTTTATAATCATTGTTTAAAAATTGCTTCTAATATCGTTTATGTTACGATGGGAATGTGTTATCCTTTCGATTACGTAACAACAAGACGTTTCCGGTACTCGTACAAGGTAGATAAAATTTATTATCGGTCTATTAATATGCGTGATAGATTTTTTGTGTTTAACGTATTAAGATGTTTGCTATGAATTTTAATACCTTGTTTAAGTGACCAATGACCACATAATAAAATAGCTATTTTATGACAATGTTTTATGTAAAAATAAAGCGCTATTTTGTTGTAGAAAAATCAGATATTTTACGTATGTAGTTTTTGTTTAAGTTATAGTACATTCTTAAAATAAGTGTGTGTATGCAGAGACCGTAAATCATTCAACATCAGTTTAATTATTTTGAAATTGACCGAAAACATGAACGTGAAAGTTGGAGAAACGTAACGAATTCGTAAAAAATTCGAAAATGTTCTAGGTAACTAATGATAATGGTATGAGGTAAGTATTTTAACGAGCCAAAACAATTTAATGAGTCGAACAAGATGCCCTTGTAAAATTACTCAAATATATTTTTATCGATCCTTTTTAACCATAATAAATTCGGGGAAAGTGTTGTTTGCAAAACTGATTACAAAAATTAAAATTGTATACATACATATATTCAAACGAATAATATTACTATTAAAGTAGATAATAAACAAGAGTACAAAAGTTATTCGACTGTAATTCTATAGACCGATAAACAATCAACTCACTTGAAATGTTTAATTAACATTGATTGTGTCTTTTGTTATTAATAGACGTAAACCAATTTATCGGTAATACTACGTATAGTTTGGCTTAAATTGGGAGTAATTACTCGATATACTTTCATATTAGTGTCTGGCTTATTCATCAAAAACAATGTTTACTTATTGTTAGATAATTAGTTTTTTTTAGCATATCTTCTCGTCGATTATGAGTTTCGATAATACCCTCAGTAAAACCGAATATAAATAAAAACGAAATTAACATATGTATTTAAACACGTGATGAGATCATTCAAATAAACTGGCTGTGAATATGGCAAATTTTATAACTACTATTATATTAAAAGCATAATGAATTATTTAAATTTTATCTTAATTGCATTGATCTTTGGACTTAACAATCACAAGCAAATCAGAAATTATCCAATTTGTTCCATTTTCAAGATTAACAAAATTAAGTTCGAAGCTTTACTATTGGAAATTAAAATATATAGATTTTATTTAACATATGTCAAGGTTTTTTTATATTTACAAAGGAACATATTTAACCTTTAATCTCTATTTTAAATGAGGCCAAAAAACCTTAATTTTCTTATCTTGATTTTCAATATCCTGCTAAAATCAGCTTGACCAAACTAAACTTAATTCAAAAATAATTTGATTAATAAAAATACGGGTAAATTATTAGAAATATTAGTATTACTTGCAATTGTGGGTAATTAATATTAAAATGACTTTGCTTTGTAAATAACATTGAATATACCAGTTTGTTAACTATTTTATTATAACCATATACATTTCAATTGTATCATGCAAGTCATGTTTGAATTAATTTCATGGTAATATTTCGACTTATTTTATTTCTTATATAGGAAAATAAATTGTATCTTCTAATATAAAAAATTTAACGCGATAGCATTCCTTTGACATCCTCAGAATTTATTAAATTTTCTTGGGTAAATAACCATATAATAATTTTACGTCAGTCGTTAAAAACGAGTCAAATAGCAGGATTAATAATAAAACAATACATTTCGATAATGCATAAAATTAGTTTAAAATAATCGTAAATTCCAACTAGGATAATTAAAATTTTGATACAGCGAGATAAAAAACGAACAAAATGTTAATTTTGCCAATGGAAAATAAAATTGTTTTCTGTTCAAATTATTGCAAAATTTAATAAAAGTTTAATTCAATTGAAAAATACTTAACCGTTAATGTAATACTCTAACGATTAAGACAATTTAATTAATTGTATCTTTATAGGAATAAAATAAGAAAATGAAATTGCTTTTTTCAATTTTCAACAATCTTCTGTTCTTACATTTTGAACACTACTCTATTCAGTAATAAGGATATATTGAAAAAGGGTTTTATAATAAATTCTGAATAACAGAATTTTCCTCAAAGGTTCTTTGACTCTAAACCATTAATAAATAAGTATATACAATATTGATTTTCATTTAAAATTATATTTCAACGGTTTAATTCATCTCTGCTTTACTTCCAATAATTATGTTTTAACAGTTTTGCCACCCTATAAAACAAAATTAATAGTATTTGTACATTTAGCGAGTGCGTTCTATATTTAGAGCCCGCTTTATTATTCTAACATTGTAAACAATTTGTGGACGAACGAAATTAGCGAAACTTAATCGAATTAAATAGGTTGCACGCAACAGGGAGCAGCTATAAAAAATCCATGCCAACCGGTGTGTCACATTACCTGGCGCTGATAAAATAACGAAGAAGCAAAACGGCACAAAGACGATTCCGATAAATATCAAAAAGCAATTGCGTTTTCTAATAGGAGACATAGTCAAATTCACTACGGTCATCGTTTCATGCTCACATTTTCCGCGATATTTCGCTCAGTTCGAGTGAAAAAAATATTCCCGAGGGTAACGAGCGGCGCGTTTTTATCCAGCGAATACGCGTTGACCGGCTGACACGTTGTTTATCGAACTGAAAGAGAAGTGTCAGATGTATTCACGATGCGGGTATGACTAATCATAGAATAGCGGTAAATGCTTATATAAAGGTCGCGTCGTGGATTCAGCGCGACTGCGATCGAAAGAGAACGAACCGCGCCTCCCTGAAGGAACGCTCGTATCGATCTGGTGGAGTTGTCTCCGATGCTCCGCGACCCACGTGGTCGCTTTCCATTAATCTCGGTCCGATTTCGTTCGATTCCAATCGGTCAGATTCTGGATAGGTGAAGGTGAAAACCTTGCGCTTTATGATTGATTGGTGGTCGATGCGGTTCTTGTCGAATGGGTTTCTGGAAAATTGCATTCCTGTTAAGCTTCATATGGAATCCTTCTAATGTATGATTGATTGGTGTTTCTTTTATGCATTTTGTGTAAATCTCTTCACTCTTTCAATCAATCACAAATTGAATTAATTTCCTCAATTTTGATGAGTATAACTGATAAACAATGAATGGGAAATTTACTAAGAATTACTCTACTTATCTATTAGGGATTGTCTTGTGAAAATTTCTGCAATATAGTCAGTTAATAACACAAATTTCAACTAATTCAATGTATGTGAAATTCAAGAAAAGCAGCTACTTAGTGTACTATTTCTTATTTCCACTTCATGACAATGAAATCATGCTAATTACTAAAATTCGTCGTAAAGGAAATGCAATTAAATTAATACCCGGTTTTATCCAACAATGGAAACGAAATATTAATTTGGAGTTAAAGAAATACAATACTTGCCCAGCTACCCAACTTTTAATCAATTTGTCATTAACAATAGCTCTAGTTAATTCGACCATTACTGGTTCTTCAGTACCAAAAACAATTGATAGAGATTTTTTTCTAAATGTTTAGTAGGTACTTCTAAATAGTTGGCGAAAACTGTAATAATTTGAGCTTTTTCGACGTTTTGTCGTCGGAATTTAAAGAATAGATGAATTCAGTTATGGTCGAAGAATCATCAACAATAAACAGGAATTGCAGCAGAAGAATTCCTACACACCATTTAAATGTGCAAAAAGGGTAAAATTGGCCAACACGAAGGAAAACTCGTGTGAATTCATTGCTGTATGTACAAATTTTAAACTGGCGAAAAAGTTATTTGAATAATTTTGATTAAGTATTTTTTACCAATTTTATCTATCGAATATTAGATAGGTATATGCACAAGTGCCTACTTAAATGTTTATCTCAATTAATTTATATCCAATATACACATTTCCAGTTTTAATAGCGCCGAAGCATAATACTGGTGACTTATAAAATTCGGTAAATAGTACATTATTATATCTATTTCGACTATGAAATCATTCCATGCTATCCTGACCATAATTGTCATTACTTCATCAGCAAAATTTGCTCAAAGTCTGAATTGCACTATTAACGAATTCGATCAATTGAAGAACATAACCCAATCATGTCGCAATATTGTGATATCTAATCTTGTTGTACCTGCTGCTAAGTCGTTAGAATTGTCTTTGTTACCAAAAACTACATTAGATTTTCAAGGAAGAATTACATTTGAGTACTCTGCTTGGAATGGGCCTTTAGTAACAATTCTAGGAGAATCTCTTACAATTAGAGGATCACCAGGTAAGTGAATTAATAGAAAATTCACTCAATTTAAACATAATTCTTTAAAATCAGAATCGGTATTGGATGGGCAAGGGCAACTTTACTGGGACGGTAAAGGAGGAAACGGAGGCAAACCGAAACCCGTTTTCATGCGAATTAAAGCCCAAAATTCCCTTTTTGAAAACATAAAAATCTTAAACTGCCCCGTAAGATGCGTCTCTATATCCCACAGCAGTAACACAAAAATCCGATACTGGACAATCGATGTATCCGATGGTGATAAAGTAAACACGAACTAACGAAATAAACATGAGCTCATACTATTAAATGTTTCAGAACAACTTCACAGGTCACAATACAGATGGATTTGACCTAGGCAGCAACAACAATCTAGTAATTGAACATTCCGTTGTTAAGAACCAGGATGATTGCGTTGTGGTCAACAAAGGTTCCAATATTTTGATACAAAACATGACTTGCTCCGGCGGACACGGCCTCAGTTTATCCGTTGGCAGCAGTTTGAACAATTTCGAAGACAATACCGTTTACAACGTCACATTCCGTGACAGCATAATTCGACAATCGGCTAACGGCATCCACTTGAAAACGCATTGCAACAGCGGCAAGGGTTTAATCAGGAACATTACTTACGAAAATATCCGACTAATAGGTAAACATAAACACACTCTAATTGAATTATTAGGATTTCATTCGGAGTTTTAGATATAACTAATTTCGGTATCAACGTCCAGCAAAACTACGCTAACGGCGAGGCTACTGATAAACCGAAAGGCAATATCCCAATAGTGGATTTCCATTTAAGGAATATCACTGGTAATATGAAGAGTTTTATGAATTCTCCAACGATTTCGGCGAATATTGTATGCGGAATAGGCGGTTGCAGTGACTGGTTGTGGAATGGTGTCGTTATAAACGGTGCTCAAAATGCGAGTATATGTAATTTTGAACCAACGGGTTATAAATGTAATGAAAATATGTGATAATGAAATTTAATAAATTCAATTGCCATTTTATCTCCGCTTTGCGAGTATTTATCGATTCAATTCCAGATGAAAAAGGTCGCCGAAAGCGGATAGGGACCTACGCTGAATTATAGATAATTTTATTTGTATGGTTCTTGTTGATTCGGTATTATCATGCGGCTAACCTACCACGAAAAAATGATAAATTGCTATTGCATGTCAACGTTTTTGTTAGATTTTATCGATAATAACAATTCCCACGTTAACATAATTCAAGTAAGCATAATAGACTCGTATTAATATACAACACGAAAAATATGAATTGAACACTCTAACCTATTTAAGTAATAATGTGAGTGTTTTATAACAAAATTACATTGAAAAACCAAAGTAATTATGGAAAAACCATATGCATAGGAAGTGGCAAACATCAATGTGGTTATATTATGTGCAAACCTGACAAGATAAAGACTACAATACTCTAAAAAAATGTATAAACAATTATCTAAAAACCACGTTATCTTTTTCATAAATAAATTAAAATAGTTTAAACCGCCTTTCTACTTCATTCTAAAAAATTGGCCTAATATTTACTAAATATGGTTAAAAATAACCTTCTCATTTATAGCTATTATTCCACTCTCCATCAGCACGAAACCATACTAATAGACGACCTACAAAATAAATAAACGTAAACCATAATCCATTAACACGAATTCGTGTGTAGGTATTTATTAACCTCGCGGTATTTACCGGCAGACTGGGCAGGGTCAAGCCTGTTTATCTTGTAGTTATTAGAAGACGGTACGACTACACAACAACAATAACCGCAAAATGCACATAAACCCAACTCGATGAACATCCACAACCTAGATACATTAATAATCGCGAAAAAAAAATGATTCGCTCTCGAAAATTTTCGATTTTTCCTCCGCACTATAATTCATTAAAAACTCCCTCAAACAATGGTCTTTATGTAGTCATCTACCGATAATCGCTCTCTAAATTGCCGGTGTCACGAAACATTCGTACATAATGGAGAAATGCGCCTAATTATTAGTGGCCCAACAGTAAAATAGGAAGAAAGAAGAAATGTGGACGCCCGTGAACGGTTCCCACGTTATGGACGATTCTCGTGAAAGTCGGGACAACCAGTCTAATGAGAGCGAATCGCATCTACAAGTGAGTTTTTCGAATAACTGTTCGATATATCGTAGAGGTCAATATAGCTCTAAGATTTAGGCCAGTTCCTTTAAGATAGGTTTTTTAAGGAGATAAGTTAAGGTTTAACTACATTCAAACGTTTCTTCAGGTTTTCTTACTTGGTGCGTATGGGAGAAACGAGAAAAGATGTAGAAAAAACTAGGGAGAAGTTAACTCTACAGATGTAACTCTTCTAAACACTAAATTCTTATTAAATTCTTTCAGGTACAAATCGTGCTGACGCCCATCGAAGGATCAGATGGTGGTGCAGAAATAAGAGTTATGAGAGGCACACCAACAAATACCAGTCCTATAAATAACCGCCGCTTTTCATTATCACCAAGTAAGTACAGAAAGTTTATTGTAAAAGCACTCCAAATCCTCCACACTTTTTCAAAAACAATTTTGATGAATAAAATTTTAAGCAGGCAACATAAATTCTACAAGCTAAACCGTTGATAAGCTTTTCTAGTGCTGAAATCATTAAAAAGTAATTTTGTTGGTTGTGTGTAAAAGCTTTTTTGTTAAATCAAAATTAGAGGAGGACTCGTCGGTGAAGAGTCAATTTATTCCTAACTGAGCATAGGTGGAAACATCACAATGTTAGTGCAACATATTTTGAAGCTTACGAATATTTTATGTTTGACTCCGTTTCGGCCGAATTGCGTCCTAAATAAATCATGCGCCGTGTTTTTACTGTGTGTTTACGGCATTGGATTGGTATTGAAAAATATGAAAATCTTAGAATATTACAAGCATCCTTGGAATATGTTAACGATATACAATATTGTAATTACGGCTTCTATTCACATATCTGGTATTTTGTATGTTTTTTCAATTTGTACGACCACAATATTTTTGTATCCATACGGAATTCAAACTATTACGAATCATTTGAAACAATTCGATAAGGAAACTAATTTTAAGGAAAAACCAAAAGGATTTTGGATACTGTACGTATTTTTCATAGTGATTTGTCCGTTATTTTATTTCCAAATAATAGTTGCATTTAGTCTGAGCAGAAACTTTACTTGGACTAGGGCTAAATACTATTTTGTTTCTTACTTCATCCGCCATATAATGTCAGTTTGTATATTTTTGCACAGCTGGCTGCTAATTGAAGTATTCTTAAGATTCAGATACCTAAATAAGCTACTAAAAGGTGCGATGGCATTCGAATGTAATTTCTCGTTTGCTATCCGCCCAGAAAGGAAGATAAAATTTTTGTCAAGACAATTCGACATTCTCTTCGATACCTCCATAAGAATTAACAAATATTTCGGCGTCAGTTGCGTATTTTTTCTAATTAATTGTATATTAGAACTTTTAGGACATCTGACTCACATCGTTTATGAGTTCATACATTATACTGTTTACAGGAAAGATGCTCGTGCTCTTCAGTTTATTTTAGGTTTAGCTATGACGGTATAAATATACGCAAAACATACGCAAACGTAATACTAATGATATTATCTTCTAGTTGACTCTTACACTATTGGGAATGTCGGGTCACTATTTGTGCAAGGAGATCCAAAAGACAGTAAAAATTTGCTACGATCAAATAAATGAGATGCACAAGACCTACCGATACGATGCTTTCAAGAACCAGCTCAAATTTCTAGCAGAGCAAGTTTCTCAAAGAAATCTGGATATTACTGCAGCCGGATTCATTTCTATCAATCGCCCGTTACTCGGTGCTATGTTATCCAGTATAAATACCTACATTATTGTTATACTGCAAATCGTATACGTCGAAAAAGATGATAAAAAATACGCCAATGATTAGAGTAAAAGTCACTTATTCTAATCTATTTATTAGTTTAAATAATTTTTCTGGTATTGAGTCACACTTATAAATGTTGCTGTAGGATTGCAGGATTTGATTGCACGTTTAATAAAATTGTTTAAATTATTGAAATTGTTCATTTTGTTATGATTATTACAGTTTGGTCAAAGAAAAACAATTCAGAATATATCTATGCAAGTCTCTATTATTGATGCCAAATGGAAAAAATCTCGTAAGATGCAGATTATCAATCATCAATCATCTAAAGTCTTTTAATCTTCTACTAAGAATAAATGTAATAAAATATTGTGTAAGCAAAAACATCCATTAATTCCACAAACAATGCTATATAACATTTCTAAATATTCTAATATAAACATCCGAATTTATGTCTTCTTAGTGCCGTTATTAGTGTTTGTTTGTCCAGAATTAGCTTCGTTCAAAAATTCAAGAGCGACTATAATGTAAGAAGTAATGCTGGATACAATAAAGCCGATCATACTGAAATTGATAGTGAAGAAACTCGAAGCTGATAATTCCACATTTCTATGGACGATCTGTTGAACGAAAAATTTCAAATCATTTTCGAATAGATGGCAATCGAAAATGTCGTCTCGATTCGAGTTGTTGATGAGATCGTAGCAAATTTGAATGGGTTTTTGGGCTTCGGTTGATACTCGTTGGCCGGCTGCTGCTAAACATAAAGTTAGCACCTAAATACAATAAATGTTTAATTGATTTGTGTAATGCAAATATTTGTAACTACTCACAAAATCCATAATGATATTGGAGACTGATCCGATCAATTGCAAATTGATTTCCAAATCTAAAATTTCCGTCTTGACGATGACAAAGTAGATCAAGATGGAGGTGTTGTACACAATAGATCCAATTGTATACAGTGTATGAAGAAGCATGGTGGTTCCGAATAAATCATTAATGGTTTCTGTTATGTTGCATAAAAAATTGTGGTATTTTGTGATTTTTAGAATGGTGTTGTGATAGTTGTTTTTGAAGTTTTTATCATTGAAAGTGTCGTTAAGTCTTTTAAATCTATGAAATATTTCTAAATTCAGCCACAAATACAAATACATGCTTAAATTTAGCTGAAAATAAGATATGTATTTTATGCATTCGTATTTCAGCCGATTAATATTGTTGATATTAATCCAAATACTGTATAAAACAATCAAAATTGAAAGCATACAAGTAAGTATGCTGATTCTGGTGTATTTTTTATTATCCTTCACTTTACTAATAATTTTGATTTGTTTATCAAAATACTGAAAACAATCCAGTATTGTTTTTAAACTATCTGAATTCTTGAAAATTATTGTTATAGCATTAATCAAAATAGTTAAATAAAGGAAGAAACAAGTCGTTTGATCCAACAGATTAAGTAACCAGTGAGAATAGAACTTAGCGCTAAGTTTTCCAAAATACGAATAACCCACTGCAATTAAAAACACTATTATTAAAGCGAAAGTGTAAAATTTGTGCAATTTTGATGGTGTATACGGAGAAACCACTCCAAATACACTAAGAATCTTTAGCAACAACTTTGGGTTCATCTTAAAGCTTTGTTTGCATTAAAATAAGTAAATTCGAAAAATAATTCAAACAAAAAACATACAAAGCACTTAATATAAAATACAAACTGCATTAATTTTTTGAACGAAATGGAATTTGTCCATTAACATAATGATTATATATAATCAATATAAGTAAAAAATTGATAATATAAAAAAATTTAGGTCATGTTCCGTAAACGTACTTAATTACAATTACAATCAGTGCGTGTCTTAAATAATTTATTAGTGTAATATTCGCAAAATAACGCTATACGAGTATTCTAGAATAAATGAAATTATATGAATTTCTAACTAAGTTATCTTACAACACAGGCTCGTCCAAAACATACCATATTTCAATAAAATATAGGTACTAATACCTATACTAACAAAACAAGTAATCCTATATTTCAATATGCATGCGCAATACGATGGAAAATTTTATTAAAACACTACGTAATTGATAGATCGTCCTATCTCCTGATAGGCATTAATAAATCTGTATCTTTTGACGTGAAAATATAGAGCCGCTTTAATGAGATCCGCGTCAGACATATCCCTCGCATGGAAATCCATTCCGGCTCATTTGTCGTTAAAGCAAACAGTGGCGAACGCGCTCAAATCTTATCTGATTTTATCGCGTTCAGAGCAACAGCGCTGCTCCCGGTCGCTTTTCTCTTCTCATTAAATATGCGATGTCAAGCGCGATTATTCGGAGATTTTGCGTGATTTGTCACAGAGGAACCGAAACGTCGGGTAAGTTGAGTTCCTTCTACAAATTTACCTATCATCCTAGGAATTTAATTAACTCGCTTCAAGTTTCAATTTAATCGCTTAGTAACCGCTTTATAAAATTGTTGAATCAGTTCTAATTTTATGGGAAGCTGCAAGGGGTAATTTTATTGGAAAATAAATTAAAATTCGTTTGTAGTTAGGTACAATGTAATATGAACAAACAAACAGTAATTGAAAGTATGAAATTTAGCGTTTATTATCTTCCGAAATGCGTTTGTTTGCTTTTCCTGTTAATACTCGAGCTGAAATTAAATTCTCTTAATCAAATACCAAATGGTTCAATATTGACTGCAAGAATATACTAATTAGTTAGTTTTAGATAAAGGCGATAATGAAATTAATAGTCTTTCGGTTTTCATGTGAATACACAGCGCAATGTCGATAAATATTTGCGCGTATAGAAATCGAAACACTCAATCTATTAAGAGCAAACAAATATTATTAAAAGTAAAAATAAAATTACGAAATTGGGATAACTAAACAAGTATTTATAAATATTCTACCTACAACATTTTAAAGCATCAAATTGTTGGAGACTTTTCTGCTATTTTCTTCATCTTTTCCAGTTCTATGCCTTGTTACCTTCAAACTGTAATAATAATCTTCTTTTGGATATTTTTAGCTTCATCATCCACACAAGTTGACAAGGACACGGTTGCATTCGATTCCAACAACATGCTGACAGATCAACAGGTAAACTCTTACCTAGCGGATCATCCGCAGTTTTTGGAAGAATACATCATGAATAAAATCGAGATGGAGCAGCTGGAAAGATGGATAATAAGGAAATCGAAGAAAGTAAGAAAAATACAAGGCTCTTCCGTTAGAACCAGAAAAACGAGTTTATCGAAATGGAAGTTTTGCGTGCACGCCGACAAACGCCAGATGCTGCAACATCTATCCCAAAGCCTGCAGGAGAATCCGACGCAGGATCACGTGCTGTGGGAACTGGCCACCTGCATATCATCGGCGGTTAAAGCGGACGGTTTCCGGTAAATACGTGACCATCGCTTAGGTTTATTTTTAATAAACGTTCACGCTATTTTTCAGCTTGTATTTGGTGGATCAGGAGAATTGTAATCAATTGCACGTTCTCCTCGGAGTCGATCATTCGCATAATGCCGATATGAAAACGCAACTGATGAAAAATGGTATAACCATTCCTTTGTTCGTAGCGAAAAATCGACTACCTGTTAGAGTGTCCAGGGGATTAATCGACACGCGATTTCCGGAAAATGTATTAAACGAGGTTAGCGTTTTGACCACAAAAACTCATTAATACAATATTTTATAACGAAAATTATATCACTATATTCTGATAATCTATTACGAAAGTCAAATAAGTATTATTAGTGAACCAATTAAACGACACAGTAGGTATGATTTAACGATTGAATAAAGTTAAACAAAATTGTGAAAACTCCCATTAACTACTATACTTCTTTTTTGTGTTATAGTTAATTGTATTTGCTTTAGCTACACAAAGAAGTGATCCACGTTTTCTGTCAACCGATCACAGAAACATTAAACGGAAAAGTAGTAGCTGTTTTGGAGCTATGGAGAACCGATTCGAACAGCCAATTTTACGAAGAAGACGAAGAAATTGCTTACAGTTACCTGATTTGGGGAGGCATTGCCCTACACTACGCCCAACTCTACTTAAACATGAATCGACAGAAGAGCTTAAACGACTTCCTCTTAGTTGTGGTGAAGTGAGTACCTTCAACTATAATTAATTTTTATACTGCTGTTTGGATATCGCATATTGCAGGTCTATATTTCAAGACATGGTCAGTATCAACAGTTTAGTTATAAAAATTATGAACTTCGCTCAGAGACTGGTGGACGCCGATAGAGCGTCGCTGTTCCTCGTCGACGCCAAGAACAAGGAATTATACGCCACTATATTCGACGTCGGCGTCGGCGACGATTCCGACGTGGAAATTAGATCCCTATCCTCGAACGAAGAAGACCCTAAAGTGAATGCTTCCAAGGAAATTCGATTCCCATTAGGGACGGGCATTGCCGGGCAAGTGGCCATGACCGGAGAAGTTCTGAACATTCGAGACGCTTACGCCGATTCCAGATTTAACCGAGCCGTAGATCAACTGACTGGTAAAATAAGAGTTAGGGTATTCACAAGAAATGGATTATGTAGATATGAATATTTGTTGTAGGTTATACGACTAAAACAATCTTGTGCATGCCCATATATATCAGAGGTTCGATTATCGGAGTGGTTCAAATGGTGAACAAACACAAAGGTTATTTTTCGAAAAACGATGAAGAAGCGTTTGAAACATTCGCGATTTACTGCGGATTGGCGCTGCATCACGCCAAATTGTACGACAAAATCCGCAGATCCGAACAAAAATACAAGGTAACAATAACAAACAACTTTCATCGAGTAAAATTAATGATCGCATTAATCAGGTGGCGTTAGACGTACTTAGTTATCACAACACGTGCAGCGAGGATGAATTCAAGTCGGCTTTGCGCACCGGAATTCCCAAGGAATGCGTCGGCTTGGATAATTATTACTTTAATCCATTTGAATTAGACGATGTCGAGAAGGTTAAGCATGCGATGTTCATGTTTAATGATTTATTCGGCACGAACGGTTTCGATCAGGCTTGCTTGTTAAGATTTATTCTAACCGTGAAAAAAAATTACCGACGAGTACCGTACCACAACTGGACTCACGGATTCTCGGTTGCGAACAGTATATATTGCATCATTAAAAACTCCGGAGAGGCGTTTAATAAAAATGAGGTCAGTAGGTATAACGTGTTATCCATTGGGTTGAAGACTTATTGTAATCTTTAGCGTTTGGCTTTGTACGTGGGTGCTCTTTGCCACGATCTGGACCACCGTGGAAAGAATAATAAATTCATGCTCGATACAGAATCTCCGCTAGCTGCTATTTATTCAACGTCGACAATGGAACACCACCATTTCAATCAAGCTGTTACCATACTACAACAGGAAGGTCACAATATATTCGGTAAACTCACCCACAACGAATACAAAGAGGTGTTGGGTTACTTGAAACATTGCATACTAGCCACAGATCTGGCGGTATTTTTTCCCAATAAAGCGAAACTGGGCGACTTGGTTCAATCCGGCAATTTTTCTTGGGAGAATTTCAATCACAGAAGTTTAATACAAGCCATTGCGATGACAGCGAGCGATTTAAGCGCCAACGCCAAGCCTTGGGACATCCAATTTAAAACCGTTGAAGTAAGTGCAAACTGCATATCTCTCGATGATGCTCAAATCTGTTTATGTTGAACATTTTTAGGTAATTTTTGAGGAATTCTACGATCAAGGCGATGCGGAAAGAGCAGCTGGTCGAATACCGATTCCGATGATGGACAGACAACAGCCTGATCAGCAAGCGTCCAGTCAAGTCGGGTTCTTAACTGGCATTTGCATTCCTTGCTACAATTTACTCAATACGTTGATACCGGAGACTAAAGCTTTATTGGAAATGTGCAAGAAGAATTTAGACAAATGGACTAAATTGGACGAAGAGAAAAAATACAAAAATAAAAACTAGTTTATATAAGAATCTTCTATTCATAGGATTAATAAAGAATTTATTGTATTCTACAGTTTTGGTGTCGAAGCAATCACCATTTCTTCTATGTCGCAATTATTTTCGCCTCGTACGATTCTAAACAGTCCCTTTTCTCCCCAGTCTTCGTTCCATGAATTTGCTACAAGCCAGTACGGAAGACTAGTAGCATGATCAGTTCCCCAACCAATGATTCTCACTGCATGATTTCCTCTTTTATTTCCAAGTATGTACTTATAAACACCTTGAATAAAGTCAAAAAGTATTTTATTGAAAATTAGTAACCTAATACCGCTTACCGCTTTTGTAAGTCATAAAATCGGCGTATATAGTCATCGTTGCTAAAACTGGTCCGTTCGTCAAAATTTCTTTCTGTATATCCTGGACATTATCAAACCATTCTACATCAGAATCGCCGTATGATTTGCTAGATTCGTAATCCAATTTATTGTTCGTACATTTAGTTTCACATCTGGGCGTGCTATAATCTAGTGAATCACACGGGACATATTTACCCTTGCCGGATTGTTCGCACGGTTGAAATGGATAAGGTTTACAACCCTGTTAAAATGTTGTACAAATATCTTTCGAAAATCGTTTGAATACCTACTTCATTGCTGTCGTATTTGCCTCCTGTAACTATACCGTCCGATTTCCAGTATTTAAATGCTTCGTTTGGAAATCCACCACGACAGCCAGATCCACAAGTTCCACAGCAGGATATTACATCTATCGCAGAAACAGGTTGTTTGAAAGTTCCGTTAGATGCAATGCATCTTCGATCGCTCATTACAGACGTTGAAGCAACGGCCTATAAATATTATTTTGAGGTTTTTAATCTGTAATATTAAGATAGATATTTACCCAACAGGCACCGCACTCGGATTGGTCTGCTATTGAACCAATTACACTGTTGCAATTCGGCCAATTGGCACGTGCGTCAAATGACTCAGGAATCTGAATATTGTCGCTGTGAATCGTCGGTTTGTATTTTGAACGAAGGTCCATTTTTCGAGCTCCTAATAATCTGTCGTAATCCTCGATAGTTTTGTTGTTGTACCTTTGGGCTATCCACGTATTTTGTTTGGAGTTAATGAGGTCAATAAATTCATTGGATAGTGGTTTAATATCATGTGATAAGGTTGATGAAATTAAAATTATGTTGAGTATCAACTGAATCATGTTGAGAAAAACCCAGTAGCTAAAAAAATATATAAAACTATTTATACATGTGTATAAACAATTAAGAACAAAGTGATCAGAAGGCAATAAGTTGGTTATCTTACCAAAAGTTAGAAATACTAATAGAAATAGTATACTTAATGTTGTATTTTATATACGATCATACATTTTTTAATCTATCTAAAATTAGTAATTACGCATTTCCTTTTTTACAAGTACCTGTCGTTTACATATTTTTTTGTTTGATAATCGGAGATAAAGGAAAACTCAATTACACTTCGAGACGTTTTTAACCAGATTAGAAGCAAATACAATTAAAATAAATGGGCAAATTAAAAGAATATAATAATTGGTTACAATCAGTTATCTAGATTTTTGCTACTCCAGTTATCACTGAAGATACAAAGTTATATTCATATTGACCAATTGACAATATTTTAAAAAGACATTTGTCTCAACAGTCTTCATTCCATGTGTCTCGTTTTTGCCTTATAAGAATTAACACCGTTTTCTTCCACTTTGATGAAACAAAAGAATATTTTGCATCAATAATTTTTATTAATTGTATTAAATACATTCAATAATCTACACTTTTGCTATTGCGGCTACTACAAATGATTCGATGAAACATTCATTTTGACCTCTGAATATTTTAAAAAGACCTTTGTCTCCCCAATCTTCATTCCATGAGTTTGCTACAAGCCAATAAGGAAGAGCGGAATCTTCGTCGAATCCCCAGCCCAAAATCCTAACATATTGACCACCAAGAGATTTCCCCGTTACGTGTTGATAAACTCCTTTAAAAAAAAAAAAAATTTATACCTTTCGATATACATATTTCTATATAAATCCATCTTACCGCTCTTGTAGTGGAGAAAATCGCTGAATACTTCGAAACTTGATAGAACTGGACCGTTTGTCATTATTTCGTTTTGGATATCTTCTGCTACTCTAAAGAATTGCATTCCAGTTTCACTGTAAGTAATTTCAGATTTGTAGTCCAAACTTTCAACCGAACACTTCTTTTCACAGACAGGTGTATCATAAATACTTGATGGACATGGTTCGTATGTACCATTAACATGATGGTCGCAGTTTTTCATGGAGTAAGGTTTGCATCCCTATTAAAACAAATAAGAAAATATAAAATTTAATATTTAAAATTAAAATAAATTTACCTGTTTACTACCATATAGTCCTCCTGTAACAATACCAGTTTGGTTCCAATAATCAAATGCAAACTCTGCCATTCCTCCCTTGCAACCTTCACCACAATCATCGCAGCAAGATAAAAGATCTAAAGCAGAAACTGGTACGGTGAGATTTCCATTTGATTTGATGCATCTTCTATCACTCATTACAGATGCTGCTACTACAGCCTAAATATAAATAATGTGTTAATGTATTATTAATTTACTTACCTATACTTTAACTCACCCAGGATGCGCATGCAGATTGATCAACAATAGTACCAATGACGTTTTTGCATTCGATAAAATTAGTTCGAGCATCGAAAGATTGTGGAGCGAGTATTTTCTCATTGTGAACAGTAGGTTGGTACTTAAGACTCAAATCTTCTGATATACGAACTCCCAAAAGGTTTTTAATATCACTTATGGTTGTTTCCTTGGGAAAGTTTCTACCGGCTACCCATGAATTTTGTTTGCTGTTAATTAAATCGATGAATTCGTCGGATAATGGATCAATTTCGACTGCAATTGCACTCGAAATCAAGCAAAGAACGGATAATGCGATTCTCATTTTGGTATATTTTCTAAAACATATATTTTTTGTATGAAAAATAAATATATACAATAAAAAATTTGGAAACCTTACCTTACACTTTCAAGATAAGTCGATAATGAGAATTAAGTTTATCATTTTTGTAATTTATTTATACATACATACAGTGAGCATCATAAGTGTTACCCCTCCCCCCATTATAACTCGTTACTGGGCTCTTATTAAGAAAATCGTCGAGACACGTCGACTTTTGATTTTTATAATGTACTTTTTGGTATCAATAGTTTATTCTCAATTTCAACCCTTACTGGAGGGAAGCAACCCTTTCGAAAAATTTGAGGTAACAAGTAATAAAGCAATTTTCAATTTTTTTTTGCATAGTTGAATGGAGAATAAAACCCCCTTTTAAATGAGCTATAACTCACCCCCCATGCTATTTAAATTTTTCCCCAGTAAGGGATGAAATTGGGAATAAATAATTCATACCAAAAATACCTTGAAAAAATCAAAAGTCGACTTGTCTCGGCGATTTTCTTAACAAGAGTCCATTAACGAGTTAGATAGGGGGGTAACACTTATGATGTTCACTGTATATCTGATGCAACAGAAATACTGTATTTCACATATTCAAAACAGGATGATCTTCAACTGTAGGTAGCTAATCCTAAAATATTTCGAGTGGAAATATCTACATAGATAAATAATTTTGATTCAATGTAAAAAAACAATAAATTTTTTGATTATGTTATTTAATTTGACTATCGATCATTAAGTTTAATACAATTGATAACACATAACAAAAAAAATGTGTATTGTAAAAAAATCAATATTGGCTAATTCAAAAATCTTTTTAGGAATTTTTTTTAATTATCTCGTTTTGAATATTTCCAGTTTAGTATTTTTAAGTATTTTCAAAATTTTAATCCAAACTTTTCACAGAACATTTTTCTTCACAGGGAGATATGTCATAAATTCTTGGTGGACATGATATGTATTTACCGTTAACATGATGGTCTTAATGTTTCATGGAATGGGACAATAAAGAATCCAATGTATTCTAAGATTTGCTACAATAGAGACGGAAAACAAAAATCGAAGTAGATACATTACTAAAGTACTGAAGTATGAAAATGATGGAAAATATTAAACTTTAATATTTATGTATGTGTTTACAAATACGAAGCAACTTATGCCAAACTACCTAATTTAAGCCACTTAAATTTTATTAATAATACCTATATCAAAGACTTCTCAATGCAATTTAAGTTATTGCCTTTTAGGATTTTAAAAATACCCTTTCCTTCCACGTTGATGAAATAAATAAATATTTAGTAGGTATCAATTATTTTTATTAATTTTATTGAATTACATTACAATAACTTAAACTTTTGCTGCTCCAGCTACTACAGAGGATTCAAAGTTACATTCATTTCTACCTCTCACAATTTTAAAAAGACCTTTTTCTCCCCAATCTTCATTCCAAGAGTTTGCTACAAGCCAATAAGGAAGTTTGGAAGCTTCGTCGACTCCCCAGCCCAAAATTCTAACAGCGTGACCACCTTCAGGGTCACCCGCTACATGTTGATATACACCTTTTAAGATAAAATTAATTTACCAATGTTTTATGTTTTCTCTAAACCAATCTTACCGCTCTTGTAGTTAGGAAAATCGGCGTATACTGTAAAACTTGCTACAACTGGACCGTTACTCATAATTTCCTTTTGGATATCTTCCACTGTTTCAAAGTATTGCGCTCCATTTTCACCGAAAGTGTTTTCAGATTCGTAATTCAGGCCTTTCACTGAACATGTTCTTTTACAAGCAGGTGTGTCATACATACCTGGTGGACATGGTTCGTATTTACCGTTAACATGATGGTCACAATTTTTCATGGAGTAAGGTTTGCATCCCTAATAAAACGAATTAGTAAATAAAAAAATCAATGTAATTAGTTTTAAATAAATTTACCTGATTAGAATCATATAATCCTCCAGTAACAATACCAGTTCTTCTCCAATAATCAAAAGCATTGTCTGACCATCCTCCTTCACAACCGT